AGGGGGAGGGGTGCACTTTCACTGCGCCTCGCCCTACTCAGGAGAAGGATTTAACAGGAGACGCCTGGCGATGATTGGATTATCCTGATATCATCACGTACACAAACCATTCATCATCTTACCTAAGCAGTTGAAACTTTCCCATACCACCAATTTTAGTGCCTACTTTTTGTTGAACTTTCTAAAGGCATATCTGTGGAGTATTTGGAACTGGGTTGCGTTGCGGACGCCTCTCAGAACATGTCATCCTTAGAGTCAGAAAATGCAACATATCTTGATGGGGACTTTGGAACCAGAGAAAATGCTGTCAAGAAATGTGCTTTAGAGGCCGCCAAAAATGGCTATAAACTGTTTGTTACGCGTAAAAACGCTTGCCACTCTAGTGCAGATGCACACCTGAAAACGGACTCGGAAGAATGTTATCCAGGAAATGAGGATAACAAAGTATACCTCGTGGGAGGTGAGATCAATCATACTGAATTTTAGCTCTACACCCTTAACTCACCTGCTTTATTATGAGGTGCCGAACGGTTTCCGTATTTTTCATGCCTATTATTTAATTGATGGATACCACCACAACTTTTCGCATGTTTTGTTTAAAAATTTTCAAGGAAAAGTTTTGTAGTCCTTGTCAAGCTTTGATCATTTTTTGACATTATATGTCAACATGGCGAGACAGCATTGTAATAGCTGTTAAACTAACGTTTAATTATTTGGACTTATGTACGCACAACTGAGAAACAAGCTTGGCGACCTAGACTTTTTTTATTCCTGATTTGCAATCAGCGTATTTTAAATTTCACCTATTATATAGCTTCAGAGACACCGAAAGTTTTTGGTAATTTTGGGGTAGTGCAAACGCAGTCACGTCGATCAAACAATACCAAGAATTAGTTTTGATAAATCTAACTAACGTTCTTCGTGGATCTTGCGTCTCTTTTGTCAGCAAAGTGTGGTGACCTCCTCAAAGATGGCCTCATTCATTTATCGAGCTCAACAATCCAGGGATCATCCTACAACTCGTCCTGGGGAGTACCTCTTTTAAATGGCGACTACTCTTGGTGTCCAAAGGAAGAAGACTTCATCCGAAAACTCAAGGTTGATCTAGGTAAGTTCTTCCAAATGATTGTAAATTCTTAATAAGGGTAATAGCCGGGCTTGCTATTGAGTTCCATGTGGCTTAGTAATAGTGTAGATTCCTTAGCAAGACTCGCATTATTTCATTCTTCCGGGCACGAGACAACCGAAAAAAACCTTTCTAAAATTTTTGGTCAGCTTTTAGGACAATTGTAAACATTTGAATCTCATCTCCCTCTTAACGAAAGCAGTTTGGCTCAGTAGCTATGGCCCTGCCACTGGTCCTATAAATTGCTGCTCACTTGCTCTGTTTTTTCCTCGGTTCACACGAGTCAAGCTACTAAGCATAAAAATACCAAGAGAGTCCTTATAACATAAGGTTTTGTATAAGTTAAACATATGAATTTTCTCTAATGCCAGAATATTTTTTAAGGGCGAGAAACCTACTTAAGTAAAGTGACCTTACAAGGTAAAAAAGATTCCGTGGATTATCCTGATAACTACTGTTTCGGTTCCACTGTTAATGGCGGTCATGAGCTGGAGATCATTCGAAACGAATCTACTTGTCTGGTAAGAAATTTATTTAATCATGAAGGTAGTGCAACCCATTAGTTAACAAGTCAGACAATCAGTTAGTTGATCATCGGTCTGTCGATCGATCGCCAACTAAACAATGAACAAATGAATCCGATAAGTTAAGAATATAAAGTTTAGGCATGAATTGATGCTTTGGTGATGATGTTACCACTTCGTTTACAGATCAGCCTCTCCACTGCTAGTTCAAATGCTAAAACAAATGTGACACTAGGTTCTGGGTCACTAGAAGCTCAATATTTGAGTTTTAGTCCTTGGAGACCATTCAAGGGTGATGGATTATGCCTCAGAGTAGACGTGCTTCGAAAACACAATACATGTAAGGCATCTTTTTGTATCATCTCGATTTTTATGTTAAATGTTTGCTTTTCACTGATTTAGTGGCTGCATCACAATTTCAATATTTGATAGATTATCTGATTCGTTATCCTTCTAAATCTTTTAAATCAATTACATTGCCTTGCTCGTTTAAAAGTTATTACGTACTAGGAAAAATGATGTGAATTAGTGTGAACAAGATTCTTTAACACGGTGAAGTGAGTTTGATCTACGTTCTTGTTTTACTTTTTTTTTGTTCCCCTATATGATTTGTAAAAGAAGAAAGGATTTTTATTTACGAAAAATAAAAATATAAAATATTAAAAAAAGAAATCTATAAGCTAGCCTTTAAAATCGGAAAAAAAACTTTTTAGTAGATCATCGTATTTACCGCACGACTTATCTATGTTCTATTGTGCCACACAATCGGTTTAGAAAAATGTTCTAAAAATTAATATTTTATTTCATCCTTTGTTAATCACAGCAACCAAAGTTTCAATTTTAAGGGAGGCAGGAAATGTTATCACGTGCAATCATTCAAATGCTCGCTTTGGATTCTCTTGTCCTCCATTGGTCGACGGAACTGTGGCTTGGTGTCCGAATAGAACCGATGCATTGCCTTTCCATCACCATAACCTTCAATTGGATCTAGGTAGGTCTTTTAATGTCTTCATCTACACCCGATGGTGAGAACCTTGACCTTATAAAAGTATGAACCATGACACGAGATCTAACGGCTGATATGCGTGGCTATGGTTATTTTCTAACGCCAGTATGCGTGGCTATGGTTATTTTCGTTTAGCAAAGCGTGGATGGCCTCCATCACTCTCGACGCGCAACTTTAAATTCGATTGTTATTGTTTACACGTATACCCCTAAGGCAACCGGGTCCCACTGTTATGTTCATTGTTGAAGCTTTTTAAGTGTCCCTTATTGGCAATCGAGACTATACTCGTCGTACATGAGCGATAGTAGCCCGAAATGTGCAGATGAAAATTCAATGACGGTGAGTTTTTCTTACAGGAAGGCCATTTAATATTTCCAAAGTAGTAGTGCAAGGAGCAAAAGATGCAAACGAATGGCCATACAAGTTTTGTCTTCGCTATGGCCTGAATGGATTTGATTTTAAGGAATTAACACAAAATCAGAAAGAGTGTCTGGTGAGTAACTAAACCAAAGGGAGGGGCGGAAATTAACCGTGTTTTGTGCATTCTGTGCGTTCTCCTTAATTCCTCTACCCACCTCCGTCCAATCCCTTAGCATTAGCAGTTTCACTTTTTATGCTGTCGGGTAAAGATATGCTTTTCAGTTCTCACGCTTCGACCACATTAACAGGTCATCCGTCATCGGAAAAAACGTTTTTTTTTCTCTCAGCTATTCAAGCAAACTAATGACGATCTGAGAGGGAACTCTGAACGTACGAGGGAATTTTTGGTTCCTCGACTGGTTCAGTCAGTCAGTGTGCAACCTAAGTATGCCACATATGGCACGAATGATGGTTACTGTGTCCGGACAGAAATGATGGGCTGTGTTACAACCACAGCTGATGGAGAGCAAGTTACTGAAGGTGGCAAAAATATAAGACAATTAATTATTAATCCAGAACACAAGCCATTTCTTTCTATGCATGTAGCCCTTACGGGTAAACTCGTTGGGAGCTCTCTTTCTGGCCATTATTTCATCAATTTTAAGTTATGTTGAGCAGTCAGGCCATATTTCCCATTAAAGATTGATTTCGGAGTAATGACTGATGAGAAATTGTTCATACACAAAGCAAGTCCATCAGAAAACTCGGAATAAATCTTAAAAATAAACAGAAAGTTACTGGCATGGCAAGCAGGTGGCGTCATGTTTTCAGAACCGACAAAATTTCTGCCGCGAAAGCTGACGAAGAATGCTGAATTTCCTTTATTGTAAGCCAAATCATCTTAAGTATGACCTAAAAAATGATGGTGGAATTAATTTCTTTTGTTATGGCAGGATGTTCACACAAGACGGCAAGAGGCAAATGCTGCGTGTTTCCTTTTATCTATGAAGGCCAAATGAAATACTCCTGCATCAAAGACAACCATAATCGACCATGGTGCGCAACCACCGACAATTACGACAGAGACAAGCTTTGGGACAATTGCCTAGGTACTCACAACTTTAAAACATTATCGGGCAGTTTTTGAAGAAGTTGTCAAAAATATTTTGAAAGTGAATGACTTTCCAGAGGAGGGATAGCTACGAAGTGGAAAGACTTCTATTTTTTTTTTCATAAACTTTGACAGCCGATCGTGTAGTTTGATCTTTCATTTGAAAATAATCCTGAAAGGAACTGTTGTCCGTGAAAGTGTCAGGCATAATTATAACTGAGCGGTGATCATCATCCGAGTCAAGTGAGGAGCTATTTTTCAGTCCACTGCTGTAAGGGTGGTCCGTGGTAACTGATTGATCAGTTCTGGCGTAATGTTATTAGCTGTAAGACCCAAATCTTCTTTTATAAAAACATAAGCAGTAGTTGATAAGATATTGATAGTAATAATAAGTTCACCAAAAGCACAATTGATATCTAAGAAAAGACCTATTGTTGTTGTAGCCACCAATCCTTGCCACCCAAAGGCTTGTCTGAATGGTGGACAATGCGTGGAGAACTTAATGGAATGGTCCTACAGGTGTATTTGTACAGAGAAATATACGGGAGATCATTGCGAAGATGGTAAGTGACAACTAAACGTCCATCCATTTGAAAAAATACTTTCATATTAATAGAGCCCAATCAGTGTCTCAAGGATCATATACTTTCCTTTGGGACAGTTGTGTTTAGCGACATAATTAATTCCCACACGTTTTATTCTGAGCTTTTTTTTCTCAGATGTAGACGAATGTTTCAACAGCCCTTGTCAGGACGGCGGGAAATGTATCAACGAAAATGGCGATGACCGTTGCGATTGTAACCATGGAAACAGTGGCAAGAACTGCCAGTTAGGTAAATATGTGTAGACTGCTACGCTTATTAAAATGCAAAATATTTTTAGTACAGGTAAATTAAGTAAGTAATCAGCTTTAATCTAGAAAAAAAGCTGCAGAGGTTACCTAATGTTGAAGAATATTCGGGAAAAGATTATTAAAAAAAACCTGAAGCTAATTGATTAGGTTTTGACGTTGAGTTTCATTTTGATTTCTAGATTGCAAGTTCGACAAAGTCGATCTGGGGATTCTGATCGATGGCTCTGCTAGCGTGCAGTTCTACGGAAAAGACAATTTTCAGATCATCAAAGATTCTATAAAAACCTTCATTCGTACGTTTAATGTATCCAGTGATTTAACACGTGTTGGAGTTATTGTTTACTCCACAAATGCCACAGTGGTGTTCAAAATGGACAGTTACACAACTCAGTCAAACGTGGAACAGGCGATTGATAACATAAGGTATCCCGCTGGCGGAACTTATACTGGAAAAGCCTTGACAAAAGCCTCAGAGAATTTGTTTGACCCAAGTTCGGCGCGACCTGGCAATGTTTCCAAAATCCTGGTTGTACTAACTGATGGCGTGTCTACCGATGACGTCACACAGCCAGCTGCGCTACTCAAGAACATAAACGTGGTCCCGTATGTTGTTGGAATCGGTTCAAACTATGATTTATCCCAGCTCGAACAGATAGCTGTAAATGCCACGGATCTTGTGTTCAGAACTGAATTTAAGACAATCTCGGAAACTTTTAACAGACTTAGAGGAAAGATCTGTCAGGGTATTTATCTTTTACATAATGTTTGTTGCATAATGAGATTCTTGGGGCTTCATATTTCTATTTTCCTTTTTTTATTCTATCTGCAGATTTGAATAAGTGCGCGGATAATCCCTGTCGGTTTGGTGGTATTTGCCAAAATAATGGTTTGAATTGTACGTGTGCGAAAGGCTTTCAAGGAGCAAAGTGTTCTGAAGGTAGTATTTATTACATTAGATGTATTAGGTATTTATTAAAATGATGTGTAAGCATGTTTCCATAAAATAACGCTACAAATTCTTTTGTATCCAGTCCATTTAGGTATTATCGAAGCTTTTACTAGTGCATATCAGAAGAAAAAGTATTAAACCTCGTTACACTGTTAACAAATATTTCGCACGTTTTTAATCTTATGCTATCAGATGTTAGAGAATGCTCAAACGCAAGTTCCAACTGCACTTTTGGAAAACATTGCACTGAGACCTTTGGTGGGTTTGAATGCACATGCGCGAACAGTTCTCTGTACGGTGAGAATTGCACCAAAGGTGAGTGACTTCGAGAAACTTTAAAACTAACAATTTGAAAGTGTTTCATAGTGGTGGAGCATTACCGAGCCGCAAATATCCGAAACCAAAAAAAATTGGTTAGTTTCTACCAAGATAGCAGACGTAGCAGGAAATTAAGTTGCTGACGCGCGAGTTTGGCTTTTCGGCTACTTGGAGGTGAATAGTCAGTCACTTTAGAAACAGCTTATTAGCGCGTACGAAAAGCGCTATTCACCTGTGTAGTTTATACTAACTATCTGTATCGTAAAAACAACCTGGGAGGGAAAAAACAATGAATTACTGTGTAAACGGCCAAACAGAGAGAAAAAAATGCTCTGGAAAAACAAAACAGAACAGAAAAAACGGTGAAGAAGACTAAATGTTTGATCAAGCTGACACAAAAGTGATCGACTGGTCTGCTGAGAGACTGATAGTTTCCTTGACCAAGAAATAGAAAGACACACACAAATATGCAGACATACACAGAGACCAACTGAAAGACTAAGCATATACTTTAAAAGAATGAGTAACCGGCTGACAGGCTTTTGTTGTTCAGATTGCAGCAACAATGGCTCCACAGTACTGTTTCTATTGGACAGAGGAAAAAATGTCGGAGAAGACAACATTAAGCATCAAATCGAGTTCATCATCTCGGTGGCGTCTTCCATTTCCATTGCAGACGTTGCAGTTATTTCATATGCAACTGATGCTGACATTATCATCAGACCTGGGCAAGCATCCAACCTAACCGAATTTTCTGAAACTTTACGCGGTGCGAATTATTCCATGGGTTACATGAAGAACTTGGGTGCGGCATTACGGAAAGCACAAGAGATTGAAGAAATTTATAACCACTCAAAACCAGCAGTTGTAGTTGTGATGATAATGGGGAAATCAAACGACGATGAAGCGCCATACGCAGCAAAATTGAAACAAAGAAGTGTTACTGTTCTAGCTGTACCCTTGGATAACAATTATAACCCCGCAGAAATGAACCTGTTGGTATCAAACCCCCCTAGTGACCACATTCTGGTGACGGACGTTTCGAATTTGAAGCATTTTGTTAGTAGAACACGAGACGCGGTTTGCAAAGGTACTTGTGACATGTGGCAAGATAGGATAAAATTTCACTAGTTTTAATTGTTGGGGGAGAAGAGGAGGTGAGCTTGTGGAAATGTCTTCGTTCCTTGAAATGGAAACTTTTAAATAACAGTTTGCAAAACGGGACAGTGGGAAAGGGGCAACTCTTTAACAACGGGGAACAAGTGTGGTTAACTAAAAAGGATAGCGGCTGATAATTTCTAAAGAAACTGTTTGGCGCTGCGTCGGCGGGAGTAACGAAATAATTTGAATATATCAACAAAGTTGAAATGGTAAATTGGCCACCGTTACGGTTATAAAAGCTGACGTTTCGAGCGTTAGCCCTTCGTCGGAGCGAAGGGCTATCCTAAAAAGGATAGCGCCAGGGCAAGGAACAAAAGTTAAGGTTCTTGTAATCAATGGCAAGACAAATGGGAAAGTTTCACTTACATGCCCAAAGTAACTAGGAGGTGCGACTTTATACTGAGTGTTAGAAGTTTTTTGTTTCGATCAGTCGTTATAAATGCTTTCTCATACGAGGATTGGAAATTTTTTCACCCGCGCCTTTCTCTCATAATCTGCACATTTTACAAGTTTCAATGCTACCGCATTTTTCATTAGCATCTTAAAAGTTTTAAAAGTAAACCTCAATACAGTGGATCATAATTTATCAATATATCGTCTGTCTAAGAGCGACAAACAAAATAGTGATCAATGTGTCATAATGCTTTATATATGTTACCGAGTTGTCTTTTCTTGTCGGTTTTCTCAAAGTTACATGAAAAGGAAGAAAGAAACAGGCTACACATGTATATCAAAAAAAATAGAATTCTGTCTTCTTCTTACAATCAGCTTGGAAACCATGCACCAGCTCAGACTGTCCCTCCACGCACGAATGTAAAAACAATTACGGACAAGATGGAGGGTTTCGCTGTGTCCCACGTGAGTAAAATGCAATTTAAATAGATATTATACTGTCTTGCTTGTTTACCTGAACTTTGTTGGGAGACCAAGAACGTACTCTATCTACCTTGTTGATGGTGTCACTTCAGGAGGGGTAACTGGTTCTGTAAGGGGAGCAGGGTTGGTGTAGTGGTGAGAGCGCTCGCCTTCCACCAATGTGTCCCGGGTTCGATTCCCGGACCCGACGTCATATGTGGATTGAGTTTGTTGGTTTTCTACTCTGCTCGGAGAGGTTTTTCCCCGGGTACTCCGGCTTTCCCCTCTCCTCAAAAACCATCATTATTTGAATTTATTTAGTTTAAGTTTATTTGTTGCACGGAGATATTAGCACTTGCGTGCTACCTTGAAATTCGAGGATAAATAAAGTTGTTATTATTATTATTATTATTATTATTATTATTATTATTCAGGTCCTTTAACTTTATAGGCTACTTTCAGTTTCACAAAGCCTCGAAAAGAGACAAGATACCTATTTTAAAAGTAAAACTCTGACTCTCTATAAAGTTAATATAAAGAAGAGCTGCCCAGTTAATTCACCATTTCCACTGAAAACGTTTCTAGATTTCTTAATCACGAGACTTGCCCCTATATTTGAATATTTTGATATTTCTATCTGGCGAACTTGGTCAATAAGATGGTGAACTCTATGAACAGATGCTTTTAAGCCATAATTGTCTCGCGTTTCCTTTCAAGATAGAGATAAACGAAGAAAGGGCTTAAAATCTAAAAAATCATTTGGTCAGCTAACATTGTTGGAGGTCTTATCAAGTGTTGCTTGACGTCACGTTGATCAAACTTGAACTTGCGTTTGGAGGGTCAAGATCGTCGATCGGGGACGGCTGTTTGAAGCTTGTATTTTTCTTTTTATTTATTGCAGTCATTAAGCACGTAGGTTTGAAAACCTTTGACATTTGAATTAACAAAATTCTCTTTTTTTTCAGCCCCCTCTGTGTGTGAGCCTAACCCTTGCAAAAATGGAGGAAAATGTCTAGCTGTCGGTTACAACACGTACAATTGCACTTGTCCAGCGGGGATCGGAGGTGTGAACTGTACGGAAGGTCTGTGTCACGTTGGTTTTTAGCTGTTGATATCAATAATGACTTGGTCATTAAAATTAAGTCAACTTGCAAGCCAGAAAGCCTATCAGTTAAGAGCAACGACATGCCTTTCTTAACGTTACAGCATAGCAAACTTAATGTGATAAATCATAGTAGACTAGAGTGGCTAGAAAGAATGTAACAAACACGACATATCAGGTCTGAGGTGCCGCATATTATAAAAAAAGCAATCAGGTGACAATGGATGTACATAATATCAACTCTGTGGCAGCGTACACCTCGAGTTCACTGGTAACTTAGGAGGTTTTATGATTAACTTAAGACGTTCTTAGATATTTGACGGTTTTGGCTCAATATTTTTGTGATATGTAAATTTCAGATATCGTGAATGAATGCGATTCAGCACCCTGTAAGAACGGCGGGACTTGTAGAGATCTTTTGGGTGCTTTTAAATGTAATTGTACAGAGAAATTTTCCGGAAAGGAGTGTGAAATTGGTAAGTGCTTTTTGGATGTCTCATTTGACTAATTATTACAAATAGACCGAGTCAGTCAAATAATAATTTGAACACTGCAGGAGATAGCTTAGATCTTTCCGGTGTTTCATTGACTTACCTACAAAGTACTCACGAGCTAACTGACTAATCTGTGAGCAAGCCCTTATTATCAAGGCTGAAGGACGTGCACCTTTCACCCCCTTCCCACGAGAAAATTTGATACGAGGCGCTGGAGTCGGAAAGAGGTTTGCCAGAGGTCTGGCATTATCAATGCTATTTTAGATTCTCAAAAAATGCTCGCTCCGTCATTAACAATAAGGGCCTGGTTGATTGAGTGGTTTAAACAAAGAGAGGATAAAGTTTGTCCTCTCTTTTTTTAACTCAAATGCATAATGAGGCAAAATTTTATTTTCGAGTTGCTAGGGTGTCACTTTGTTCCACTAACACACTCCTGTGTCGTTAATTCAGAAAACAAGTCAGGTGTATCACTCAAATAAAACCTTCAACTTTATTTTTAATTGCTGAATACCTTCCTCTACTATTAACATCATGTACCATTGTCAACTTGCCATAATTACATTTTATTATTCAGGTTGTGGATTTAGGGAGCTGGGTCTGAAGATACCTAACACGCGTCGAATCCCTGACAAGCACATGACGTCATCTTCACAGAGAGACACCAGTCACTCTGCTCACCGCGGGAGGATTGGTATCGAGGTTATGGGAACGTGGGAGGATGGGTGGTGCTCGTCACAAACCGACACAACACCCTTCATCCAAGTGTTTTTTGGTGCGTACATGCATTTAATTTATTCAATTCAAAACAAGTATATCAAATCTAAGAGGTAATGGGTCTAAGAATTGAATTGAATCGAATCTTTATTAAGGCATAAGATAAATAATCACATGGCCTATGTTACAACATTAAAAGAAACTACATATATAAATTACAGAGAAAGTCAAGATAAAAATTATAAGACTAGATTATGTTTAAAAATTAAGCGGTTGACAAACGTGTTTTTGAACCTATCAGTGTTTATTTTAGGATGGTTACTTGTCTCTTTCCTCAGATTGTACTTTGTTGATTTCTTTTTTGGCATTATAGCTCTTAAAGGGTGTATTGTATTATTAAAAACATTCTTGAAGATACGTGTGTCTTACAATGAGCTTACAATGAGCTGGAACTGACCATACCGTTGACAGACCTAGGGTAAAAAGAGAACACAGCACCTTACATCCAAGTGCTTTTTGATGCGTGCATGCACCGAAAAAAAAAAAAATGTATGAAATCTAAGAGATAATGGATCTAAGAGCTAACAATGAACTGGAACTGACCAAGCAGGCGAAAGACCTGGAGGTTAAAGAAATCATGAAAAACGCTTTTTTTTCCTATTTCTAGATATTTTCCAAAGTTTTTGCTCAGAAGAGGTGATGAGATTTGGCATATCTGCCCTATATTTTTTGGAATGACGGATTTTTGTTTTAATGATGAAGTCCATCTGGCTGATCAATTATGCTTTTTAATGATCTGAGGCCTCTTCTATATTTTTTTCCTAGAAGAAGAGAGAAAATCGAATTTCTGAAACTGATAATCTGCAATTCCTTAGCCTGTTTTCAAAAATCACACGAATAAAATTTGAAACGGATTCGCCAAGCAGCACCAGACTAAATCTGTTTTATTCTTTGTATGTTTGTTTGGTTTTACATACTGCCCTTGCTAAACCTGATCAAGTGCCTGTTTTATTCTCCTACCCCCCATGCGCCCTCTTCAACTCACTCAAAAACCTTTTTTCCTTGTGTAGAATACCTTACAAATATCACTGAAATTGAAACCGAAGCTGTTGAAGATGAATCAGGTAACTTGTGGGTTGAAAGCTATTACGTATCCACGAGCAACAGCACAGAAAAGACTACTTTTGTCAATTACACTGAAGATGGAAAAACCAGAATTGTAAGTACATGATTGCAATAACCTTCCGGGTCACGAAACTCTTAATGTAGACTTTTTAAAGTCTCACTTAAAAGTGAGTTTCCCAAAGTAATTTTGCAGTAATCGTTATTCCATACTCCTTCCTCCATGATCGAAACTCGATGCTTGATACTAGATATTACCGTAGTGATTCGATTCGGTGCCCTCGTTCCAATAAGGGCGTCCTCTCTAATAAGGGCGTCCTCTCTAATAAGGGCGTCCTCTCTAATAAGCGCTCAACTCGAGCTGATTTTGGCAATAAGTGCCCTTCTTATTCAAACGCCCGTTTTCCAGTTTTCTTGATCCTTTTCAAATTATCATCAAAAGCTTTGTTTCACACTTTCTGTTTTTCAAAAAACAGATAAGCGCCTTGCCCTATAAGCGCCCTGTTTCGAATAAGTGCCCTCCTTTTAGGTCTCAAAATTATATTTACCCTGGGCGCTAAATCGATTAATTACGGTAGATAGTGATACTTGAAACTTGGAATTAATTTATTAAAAGTCGATAATGTAGGAAGTGGTTGCCCAATCTTCCGAGCCGGTGGTTCATGTTAAAAAACACTAGATTCCAGATCAAATTGGAATGTTGATTTTTGAGGAGGGAGTAATACGGAAGACCCAGAGAAAAACCCTCGGAGCAAGGACGAGAACCAACAACAAACTCAATCCATATGTGACGCCAGGTCCGGGAATCGATCCCAGGCCATAGTGGTCGGAGGCGAGCGCTCTCACCACTGCGCCATCCCTCCTCCTCACGTATTTAATCCCTATGGGTATCGAGACTGATAATCGAGTATCGAGGGTCTGATAACAACTGTATGAAAGTTCCATTGGCAAGGATCAAATCACACAATTTTGCTCTTCTGTTTTTCTAAAATGTTTCCTCTTCTATTTTGTAGTTCAAAGCTAACACAAATATCTCAGCAAAAAATGTTTCTCTGCACGGAACGAGCGCCCATTTTGTTCGAATCCACCCTCTCAGTCACACTGGATTGTTTGCCTGTTTGCGGATAGCGATGTATGGTTGTGACAATGGAGGTATTATATAACGTATTATTATACGTGTTTTTCCCGTTTTTTAATATTTTACGGATGCAAGTTATAGTTTCAATGAATTAATAGAATTAAAAGAATCTTAGCAGCGATAAATCTCGAAAGGAACAGAAGCAAATGGCGAAGTAGCAATCAGTGTTATTTTTAATTAATTTGTCATTCTAGTTGACGATTCACTGTCCAGTTACTTTGCACCGCAATCATTGAAATCTCGTAAATCAATCAATTTACGATATTGATTTGCTCATTTATTAATCTATCTGATATTTTTTTAATACTCATTCATTGGTGTATTTATCTGTTTATTCCATTCAATTTTCATTACAAAAACAGGCGACTTCAAAGAATTCCCAACCACTTTGACGGAGAGAATTGACAATGCTTCTTTCGCTAAGGACCCATTGTTTGATACGCGTTTGGCTGGTACGTTTCAAGCAGTGTGGTTTGACATGATAATCAAACCCTTTCTGATGAATTATATCTTTGAGAAGAACTTTTTCTCTTGCTAATATCTATTTCTTAACTCCAAACAGCCATACCAGTTGCAGTGTTTGTATTCCTTTTGGTGGGCTCCTTGCTTTTTCTTTTACTTCGTCTTAGGTAAGTCAAATGATGATTTACAACAAAGATAACAGTTTTGGTAGAATTGTCATAAATTGTCTACCAATGAATTCAAAAGGCTCTCAAGGCATCACATTCTTGTGTTGATATATTAATATAAACACATGTAATGACGCCATATTTCATATTGGCTAGAGGGGAGATCTTAATTTGTGATGTGTAGGGTAAACCGGGGTAAACAAACATTTATCTATCAAGCTGCGAAAGACTGGAACAGTCTTCCAACTGATCTGAAAGAAACACAACTCTTATCTATTTTTAAATCCAAGCTAAGAACTTTTTTAAAAGATTTTGATTAATTTTAAACTTTGATATTTCAATTAGTTATCGATTTTAAGATTTTGACTCTTTTTAAATTTATTTATAAACACATTTATTTAATTGAATTAATTTATTATTATTATTATTATTATTAAGGTAATCAATTTAATTAATTTAATTAATTAGTTAATGAGGGCCCCATTGAAAACCGGTATGGCGAGTTGGGCTCCCTCGTTAAATATTATTATGACGCAGTTTATTGAACCTTCAGCATGCGAGGAAAAGAAAGTTTCATAGGGCGCCCAGCGTAACCTATGAAACTTGATATCGTAGCACTTATAAAAAATATAAAAACCTATTTGCTAGCATGGAAAATTATTTAAGATACAACTAATACTAATATAACATCGCTAATTTAAAATCTATTATTAATATACATAACAACAGCTACGCCACGTTCTGTGAATAAGATTGCTGTAAAACTTATAAACTAAATTCTCTGAATAGATCGATTAGTCTTCTAATAGACGGATATTTAAATTTCCTTCAATGTTTTAAAAATATCCTTCAAATTGATATTCATACGTGGGAATAAACTTCATGCTTATATAATGTTCTTATAATGTTCAACCTTTCAAAAGTTTCTTTTGTAGTTTTACGGTTCATGTTATGATCTTAAAAGTCCTTGCAATGTTCAACGTACTTGACTCTACAGACTTCTGCATGTTTCGTAGCACATCTTTTGTCTTTTTTCCCACCAACTTCCGTAATCGATCCTCCATAGTCCTTGACCAACTTCCAAGCACGTGCATGATAATATTGTGCTGCTGGATTGTATATCCAGGGTACCGTTCTTGTAACTCCCATCGTAGTGGAACATACTTTACTGCCTTCTCTTCATCTTTCTTTCCTCTACTCTCAATCCATAGACAACTCATCTCCAAGACAACTACTTCCTTACTTTTAAGGTTCACTATCCTTGCATCGATTCTGTTAGCTTGCAGTTCCTGGTTCTCCCCATAAGTTGGTATGTCCCACAATGCTTGGACATCCTCCGAGACGTATTCTGGTTTAGGCTTGATTGGCGAATACCATGCAGGAGGACTTTCGACCAGTTGTAGCTCTCGTAGCAACTCAAAATATAGTACTTTCAGTGCATTGTTGTGTCTTCCCAGATACTTGTTTTGGTCGAGGGCTGAATATCCCGATAATACGTGAGCTAAGCTTTCCGGTGCCTTATTGCACATACGACAGGATATGTTACTTGACTGTGATGTCTTAATCTTCTTAACCTGGTATAACTTCGTCGGTAGAAGCTGTTCATACAACCCATACATCCCGGCCACAACATACGTTGGGCATGACGTCCAATCGCTTAGCCATGAAAAGCAGTTCTTATTGCATACGCTATCATCATTCCAGTTTGCTGTACACAACTTTCCTTGGCATGCTTCGTCACGTACTATCTTCAACAACTATTCTTCATACTTTGTCTCAGCAGCTGCTTTGTTTTTGTCGCAGTTACCTCTTCTCCAGCAGCTCCACATAACGCCGGCTCCGGGTATGCAAGCCTCAAAGTCAGTCCAAGTTCTTCACTATACCTCAGGGCCTTAGTAATGAGTGACTGATATCCCAACGCAGCAACGCGCTCTTCAAACTCTCGTACTGCTTTCATACTAGGGTCGCTGTTTGAGTACAGTTTCAATACTGCCTTAATCTTCGTGATCTTGTATTCTCCCTCTACGGACTGCAGACCACGCCAACCTTTCTTCCTCGACACGTACAATAAAGCGGTCGATGTCGCTGGGTGTTTTCCGCCATTTGTTACTATGAGTTTCCGCCCTTCCCGGTCAATCCTTCTTAGTTCTGTCAGTGGCCAGTGCTGCGTCCACATGGGGTACTTAAGGACACMYWGWKYAWASKSAWYMAMRSSAWSSACA